TCTCGTCCTGTTTCTTCAGCAAAATACAAAGACATGACGGACTTGCTTAATTATATACCCCGAATATACCACAGTTATTTAAAAAATTTGAAACAAAACACGATTTCCAAGAACTTGATCGCTCCTATCGATGACGAAAATTAAATTGAACCGATGTATTTTCATATAAATTACTTCTACTTATGTTTCAAAATGTACTAATTACTTTTGTATTTTATAAATATTAAAATAAAAAATACTTAAATCAAACCTTTATATTAAATATGTTCATGGTATAAATTATTATTATATATGTAATTTATTCAACGATTTTAGTAAATCACTGTCCTTTCAAAACATCGCTTCGGTAAAATACATCGGACAAAATGAATATATGTCAGTCAGTGATTTTTCTAAACTATTTATTTTGAAAGTGGCTCAAGTCACTTCACCGTAATGAAAAGTGGTGATTTTTTAACGTTTATACGAAATTGTTTATACTGAGAAAAATATCAGTATCCTGAAATAACAAGCACATCGCATGTTTGTACCATCTACTATACAATATACTTTAGAGGCAAGAAGTCTTTTATTTTTTTTATTTCTTTTCAAAAACCATGGTATTCGTTAGAAAATTATTGGAACAATAACGTCGGAAGAAAGATATCTATCATTTTTCACTTCGACTAACTTTTTTTTCTCTATTAGTTGCGGATGTTGGAAACATATGGTCGGCGCATAGAAATTGGTACGCTGCGCTCATTTAACGTCCTTGAGAAGGTTTTTCGATGCTCTCACTTTATAAAACATTTCGGAAAACCTGCGTGACAAATCACCGTGATAGAATAACACCGTTCCAGTCCATGGAAAGATACCGTTAGAATAAATAATAAAAAACAAAAATTAAGCAAGCTGAAACAATTATTTCCGTTCGTTGGAGATTGCTGTTAAGTAACAAGCTTTACAATTCCTGTTACGTTATTTGGATTGGTAGACATGTGGCAAGAAACGATTCAATTTCGTTAGGCTCGTGTGTCGATGGATGCCTGTCGTTATACGAGCCGTTTATTTTGAAAGTGGCATAAGTCACTTTGTTTTTAAGTCGAGGTATTTAAGGGTTTGCGTTTTAACACGTTTCAAAATATGGATGCTAACTTTCGAGAAGATTTACTTGTATTCGTTATCTCAGGATACCGATATTTTTCTCGGTATAAATAATTTCGTATAAACATTAAAAAAATCACC